CCTAACAACGGCAGCCAGCTCTTGCTCTGCCTCTCCTCAACGGCTGCTCAGCTGCTGCGGACTATGCTCATCTGCTGCCGCTGGCGCTGCTACTGCTGCTGCTGCTGCTGCTGCTCTGTTGATAACAAAGTTTTTGCACTCTCACGCAAAGCTCTGCTCCTGGATAAAAAGGATGCGCGCTGCCAGCACACTTTCAGTTGGATTCTGAGCGAGGCAGCGGCAACAGCCCAAATTGAAGAAGCAGCAGAAGTCGGAGATAAAACTATATATATGCATATATATATATATGAGAACGCAGCCTGGATGGCCAAGGAGTGCTAGCTAGGAAACTAGCCCAGAGTAGTGTGTGTATGAGTGAGTGAGTGAGTGAGTGAGTGTGTGTATGTGTATACATACAATTCAATTTGTTTAAGTGTATGAGCCGCGAAAGAAAAGTGGAAAAGTGGAAGTGCGTGTACTCTTCTCCTTCTCTCTCCATCTCACTCGCTGTGGTCATGCAATTGGCTGGTGTAGCCAAATAGTTGACTGTTCCGCTGCCTGCCCGCTAGCCACACTCACAGCACACAAATTTTAAGCGCAGCGTGCACCACCGTGGTTTGAGCCAGCGACGCACTAGACGCCTCGCACAACCGTCGCACTGGCGTCGTTTTGTGAGCGCGGCTTGATGCCCGACTCGATGATGGATATGGAGCATCGGGATCATCAGCTGCATCGACCACTTCATCCACAGCAGACGCACCGTGTGGTGGCCACCAGCAGCACCAGCACATTTGCACCGCCAGCGCCAGCGCCAACAGCGACCGTTGAGGCGGCATCAACGACAAGCGACAGGGACCACCAGCTGCCCATAACAGGCACACCAAGCATGCAGCACCATCACCAGCAGCCACAGCAGCAGCAGCAGCAGCAGCAGCCGCCGCCGCAGCAGTTGCATTTGCAACAGCAACAACAGCCTCCTCAATTAAGAGAACGCGAACACCACCAACAGCAACCACAGCAGCAGCAGCAGCAGCAGCAGCAACAGCAGCAAATGCAGCAGCAGCCAATCCAACAACAGCAGCAGCAGCAGCTACCGCTGCCACATAGCCATCATGCGTTGATGCAGCAATCGCATCAGCAGCAGGCCATACACAGAGCCGAGCAGCGACGAGGTGAGTGAGGAAGAGTGCATAGTGCAAATGCCTGGGAAATGCCTGTACATATATTAATAAACATATATACACAGATACATATATAGAGATATAACTAATTGTGTATATATCAAAAAGAAATTGAAGCTGCTTGCTGGCTTTTTTTTTCATTTTTATTTTTATTTTTTTTTTTTGCTTTCATTTTATATTTAATTTTTCAGTTGAAAACATTCTTTATGAACTTGTTGCGCGGCTGCCCTTAAAAATATGCTACACAATTTTTGAAGCGCTGCTTTTTAATATCTTCATGAATTCTTAATGTACATAAAATTCTACGAGGGTAGTCTGAAGAATTGGTGAACTTGGCATAGCGCAAGACTAAACTCTATAAATGTTTTAGTTTTTTCCTTCTCTCTTGATTTTAGTAGTATTTTTTATCACTTCCCATTAATTTCACTTATTATATTTTAGTTAGATCAGACATAGAATTTTTTTGGTTCGCCCTCGCATTTATTTTTAATGGCAATTTTTGTTGCCAATTTCATTAGCGTAAATGGCAAACGTTTTGTACTCACTTCACTCAACAGGCTCATCATTTATTGATGCAATTTCGCTGCCAACTGATCAGAAAAAAGCTGAACGGAAACTTCTCATATACAAAGTATATATTTTCCAAGTCCTGCCAGCTGCTAATCATGTAGAGCGGAGTATTTATGGGTGTGTTTGTGTGTGTGAGCCTAATGTATCATCTTGTATGCACGTTAATCGCTTCATTAGGCTGAACAAAAGGGTTGGCAGCCGTAAAGCCAGGCTTAAAACATTTTTTGGCATGCACGCATTTTGCATGCAAAATTCAATCAGAGTGCCTCGACAAGAAACACACACACACACACACAGAGAGACTCGTATATAACAAGAGAAACGGCAACAGCAACAGCAACATCAGCCGCAACAACAAAAATAACAGCAGATACAACAACAACAACAACGTGACCCATTTTCAACGTAAAGCTTTTTGCCTGGGGCTGCTGTGCTATGACGTATGCGTGCAGGGGCGTGAAAAGAAGGCGTACCATGTGGTCGAGACGGTGGAAGGGGGGGTGGTCTCTTTGACAGCCGCTGGCTGGTCGGTCATTAAAAAATTATGGACCACATGCTGTTTTTTGGCTGGCAGCGCGTATTAACGCAACGCATTTACATTCACGAATTATCATAAGCGCAAAAACCAATCTTATCTTTATCAAATGAGTTACAAATTTATTCAAAAGTAAGCAAATATAGCTTAAATTTTAAGTTATTACAAAAATGTTTAATGCCCTGGGAGAAAAGCGTAAAAATGCGAACAGAAATTTATGCTCGAAATATAAATGGTATAAAGAAGAAAAATAATTGAATAGAGAGAAATGCAAGATATGGAAAAGTATAAAAATATGTACAGAAATTGATGCTCGAAATATAAATGGCATTTATATAGGTGGAAAAAAATGAAAAGGAAAAAATATTCGAAATGACAGAAACGTAAGATATGTAAAGAAAAAAATATATATAAAAATAATGAATGAAAAATGAACATTAACAATATATAAAAAAAAATTAAATAAAATAAAAAATTATAATATATGAATATTCAACTGCAGTCAGATATAAAATTGAATAAAATATATATCAGACATTAATCAGATGTTTAATTTTACAATTAATATATTCATACATATATTGAAACCTATGTATATTGTACAGTATTTTTGTATATATTGTCTAACTAATTGTAACGTTCACTACTTGAAAAATGTACTAATTCAAAACGTAAATTTTGTTCCGCCAGCTTACAAACTTTACCACTTTTGCAACTGATTTACTCTGGCTAAGCTCTTACTTAACTCTATACATATTGCGAGCGCCTATTTAACCTAGTTTTAAAAGTTAATTTAACCGTAAGCCAACTACTCGACACTGCGCTACACAGCTACAGCGCTCTAATGTCTTTCCTCTCACAGAGTGCATTAGCTGACTTAACTCGACTGATTGCGAAAAATGTAACGCAAAGGGCCTAGGCTAATATCTATAATACTTGTTTCCCCTTCCAACTAATTACAATTTGATGCTGGTTTATTTTTAAATTTAGCTCTCTGGCTATAAATCTATTACCACAGCCACAAACACAAACACACACAGACACATAAATAAGAGACCTTCATTTGTCAGCTTTCAACCAACACCTCGTTCCCATTCCATTCCATTCCCATTTCCATCCGCATCCGCATTCTCATCCGCATTTCCATCCGCACATTCAAATTCGACGTCAACGCCATTGCAATTATTTCGAAATCAATTTCAATAAAAGTTTCGTGCGGGCCCAAGTTGGTCCTTGGGCAAAATGTTTAACAGCTTGTTGGCTTAACGTGCTCTTCTATAGGTAGTTACCCACAAATACCCATCAAAGTTGCCATTGCGCAGAGTTTCAGCTATTTGCAGCTTTTGCCACCCAGGCTTTTGGTTTTGATGTCTGTGTGCCTGTGCCTGTGTCTGTGTGGGTGTATGTTTGTGTATGTTTGTGTGTGTGAGCTCGTTAAAAACACTTTGCTTGACGCTGAGCGCTTGGCATTGTTGCAAGTTCTCAATGAACTGTAATTGAAACCGAAACGGAAGGCGGGCGAAGAGCAAAGCAACTACAAAAAAAAAAATTGTAAGCGACACTAATTGCCAGTCGCAGTCGCAAGCCAAAAACCGCAAGACAAACTGTAACTGTAACTGCAACTGCAACTGCAACGGCCGCAATGCGCGGCAAATAGCATTTAAATGCATGGCATGCAACATTTATGATTTTTTGTTTTTGCCGCTTTAGCTTTAGTTCCAATTAACTAATTAGTGGCTTTTGCATGCAGCGAACACGTCATCAAAAATTATGACAACAATCCAAAAATGACAAAAGTAAACTGAAAGAGTATATGCCACGCCCCACGACCCACGACCCGCGCCCCGCGCTCGCGCCCTGCGCCCCCCCAGCCCACTCCTCAAGTCCTATTAATTTTTCAAATATATTTGATTTATCGTATTCTTCCAGATACACAAGCAAAACATTCACATGGATTTCTCTATTGTAAGTCGCACAAATTTGGAAAAGCAAGTGAAGATTGAATACAGAATAAAAAATAAAAAATAGAATGAATTTTTATTTTTATTTTAAATGTTAATTGTATAATTTTTTACCTTTTCATTTATTGGCAAAAAAAGAAAGAAATACTTGAAGAGTATTTTCAATGAATTTGAATAGTGGAACTCTCTCATGCCAATGCTTGGCCAAGAACTGAAGAAGACAAAAACAAGAATAAAATATATAAATGATCAATTACCCTATCCACATTCCCAACAGACAGAACCATACAAAAATACACAGAACTAAAGCTTAACTACTTTTTAACTACGATTATTTCCTTATTACATATTTGTTATTTGAACTTCTTTTACTGCTACTATCTCTAACTTTTTTATGGTACAACTGTCGCGCGCTCCTAAGTATGCTACAGTTTCTTAGTATTCTTATTTTTTTGATAAAGTACCCCGATGTATAACAAACTATTTTTGATATCTCTCTCTCTCTCTCTCTCTCTCGGGGCCTCGACTTGTTGAAGGCAACAATAGAAACTTGCGAATTTTCGTTGGCTAAACATTTTTTGTGGAAATTTTATATTTGGCATTTGACATTTTTTAGCGTCGTCGCGAGATATATACAGCTATATAAGAATATAAATATATATACATGTTTTGAGTTCTTTTTTTCTGTGCGTGTTTGTTAACTCGATTTGAACTTTGCAGCATTTTCGCTGTGTTGCTTCCATTTTGCGCTATAATTTCTCCTTTTCTCTGCAGCGGACGAGGAAATCAGCGACAAGGCATCAACATGCGGCAAATTGCTCATATTTCTATCCGTGGCACTAGTGATAATGACGCTGCCCTTCAGCCTGTTCGTCTGCTTCAAGGTAAGCCCCATTGTCAATCAAATGCAACTCTCTATTCAAATTGCAGTGGGTCACAATTTAAATATATATATATGTGTATATGCAAAGTGAAAGGACGTGACTGCAATGGCAATGAGCCAGGGCTTAGCGAGTGACTGACTGACGCACGAATGGACTTGAGGATTATAGCTGGTTTTGAATGATTGATGGATTGACTAAGTGTGCGATTAAATGACTAAAGGCTTTACTCATTGAAACTATTAAGATATGACTGGCTGACTCTCTGGCTAACTGGCTTATCATACGACTTATTGATGAACTGACCTGCCCTGTGATACAGTATCAGGGACTAAATGACAGACTGACCACTGATAGATTGTTTGATTGACTAACTCTCATATTGAGTGATTGACTAATTGCATAATAATATGATATTGGATATATTTAAAGATTGACTCAAAAACTTTTTGATTGACTGATTTTTAATCGTTGACTTACTAAATGACTGAGTGATTGACCGACTGACTGACTGACTGATAGCCAGAAAAAAGCTTGCTAATAGATTGAGCGATTGGCTAACTATTAGCTTACTAATTAATCAAAAGACATACTGATTGCCTGACTGCTTGATTAACATAAAAAAGTCCCGATTGATTGATATGAAAACTCAGTGATTCCGAAAATAATTGACCAACTAAGAGATTGACTAACTGATGAGCTCAACTGTCTAACTGACCATTTAAGTAAATTACTTATGTATAATGCATTACCATTAGCCAGAACAGAAACCATTTGCTAACTGACTAATCGATGGCCAACACACAGACAGCCCGAAGAGTCCGAAAAAAAACTAGATTTTCACTGAAATAACTAGCTTATGATAATGCAATTAAAGCATCTTCCGTCTCTCACTTGACTCGGAAATGGAAACATGGAAAATCTTGGTATAAGCTCATGTTTTTATTATCGATTGCAAGTGCCAAGATAATTTTAGCTCAGCTTATCGTCTGACTGATTTAATTTATGTTCAGCCATTTTTTGTCGAGAAAACTCTGGCAATTAGTTAAAACGAAGCTTAAAAATGCATTTAAATAGGAATAAAGGAAAAAGTGTGCAAAGTGATAGATAACACAAAATGAAGAGGAATTTACTCAGACAAAGATGGATAATAGCTAGTTAGTAATGCATAATACTTTATTACGCATGAAATGCCAGCTGAGCTATGCAGATAAATCATTATTAAAAAAAAAAATAAAAAAAAAAAAAAGTGCTGCAGCTGCAGGCTAAAGAATAAAATTCCCTAAGAAATTGCAGCTCATGGCCGTTGCTTGCCGAGTTTTCAATTTCATTTTGCACATTTTACTCACGTTTCGTTGCCCCCCTCTCTCTCTCTCTCTCTCTCTCTCTCTCACTCTCTTTCCTTTTCTCGCTCAATCTCTCTTTTTTTTTACAGGTGGTGCAGGAATACGAGCGCGCGGTTATCTTTCGCCTGGGTCGACTCATGCAGGGCGGCGCCAAGGGTCCAGGTGAGTGAAGTGGGGAGGCTGGGAGCGCCTGGGGCTGCAGCTATGCAAATTGAAGTGTCGCTGGCGTCGTGAATTTGTGTTAATAGCTGCACTTGCTCCAAATTAGCGTCAACTTGTTTTTATTTTTGGGGGCCACACCGCTGGAGTGGCTGTCACTTTCAACGCTCTACGCTGCCCAGCTGTAGATTATGACTTGCAAAACTGTTTAAATGCCCTATAATGCATTGTCTCTTTCTCTCTTCCTTTCTCCCCCCTTTTCTCTCTATTCTACTTTGCAGGCATTTTCTTCATATTGCCCTGCATTGATTCGTATGCACGCGTCGATTTACGTACTCGCACCTACGATGTGCCCCCACAGGAGGTAAGTCCGTTGCTATTTTCTTTTCTATTCTTTTTTTTTTTTTTTTTTTTTGGCAGCAGCAACAACTTTTCTCTATGTGTTGTTGTTGTTGTTGATATACTCTCTCAGACACACACACATACAAATCAGCACACACATACATATATTCACCAACACCTACACAGCTGACCATTTAAACGCTGCCAACTAAAAAAAAAAAAAAGAAAAACAAGTGAAATACTTTAAAAACGAAAAACTTTTAGCTTTTGCCACACAATTTGTTTACCAAAAATTTTGATTTGTTTTTGGCCCCCAACTAAACACACACACACACGCACACACTACACAGCTACAATTACTGTTAGACGTTGCTCATATGACAAGGCACACACACACACACACATATGCAGCATACGCAACTGGAGCGTAAATTACGCATACGCAACGTTTTCTTTTCTTTGCTTTCGTTTCGTTTCCTTTTGCATAGCTGTGTATGTATTTTCCTTTCCATGTGTTGTTGCTCTTGTTATTGTTGTTCTTCTTCTTCTTCTTGTTATCGCATGTCATGCTGTTTACTTTGGTTTTCATTTCAGTTGCTTTTCTTTCTTCTTGTCGTTTTTTTCCTTTACGTTTTCCTGCGTAACTGTGTTTCCTTCCAGCTCTCCCTCTCTCTCTCTCTACTCCGCTTTCCTTCTTTCTGTCTTTAACTTTTCACAAACAGCTAAGATACTTTCCTAAGCCACACACACACACACACACACCACACAACTAACAGGAGGAAGCAGCAACAGCAACAGCAACAGCAGCAATAGCAGCAGCCGCAGCTGCACTTTAGTTGCTATTGCTCACTTTTCTTTTTGCATTTTGTTTGCGGTCACACACACACACACATTTTCACACTCTAATATTCTTGATGTTGTTGTTGTTGATAGTTGTATTTGTTGTATGCTTTAAATGCTATTTACATATATGGTAATCGTTGTCGTTTTTAATGTTGCCAATTTAGTTGTTATCATAATTGTCATTGGTTATGCACTATCCCACAACACACACACACACACACAGACACGCACAACACACACACATACACACACATTCACACACATTCACACACATGCAAAACATATGCGTGTTCCATTTTATTTGATTTTCATTTCTATTTCTATGCATTTGCCCGCCTCATTATTTATTGGCTTTTAATATCATAATGCGCGTGGCAAGGTTTAACGAAGCGCAATAACTAGAGCAAGGCAAAAACGTATTTAACGATGACGTCACTTGGAGCAAACACAATTATGCTTACGACAACTTTTCACTAGCTTTTCCATATACCCTATTTACATATACATATACATATATATAGAAATACATATATATGTATATATGTATTGGTTTAAATTTTCTTACCAAATTTTTCTGTTCATTCTGTTCGCCAACATTTTTGCAATTTTCCATTATATTTTTATCGTTTTCATTTTTGGGTTTTATCCTTATACCCGGTTTTATTTTTTGTCTTTGGTTATTTTATCCCCTTTTTTTTTTTTGTAAAACGCATGAAGGACACTGCGGCCTCACACAACTGCAACTTTAATGCCAATTTTTACGTTTCCTTTTAACCATCTCGTTGTTGTTGTCGTTGTTGTTGTCTGAAAAATGCATACGAAATGATATTCGTGTCGCATTCATTTATTATTTACTGTTAAATTCCTTCTTTTTCTCTTCGGTTCGTTCGTTTTTCGGTGTCTTTAAGAGTCTTTAAACTTCAACTTTATTACAATTTGCATAGTTGACAAAAATAACTCTGATTGTGTTTTTTTGCCAATTAGAAAACCCCAAAAAAAAATCGATAAAAAAACTAAGCAAATGCTGAGCATATCAACTGAAACTTATAACCTGATGCTCTGTGTTCAGACAGAGCAGCACCCTTACTGCACAGACACACACAGTAATGATGTTTACTAATTGGTTGGGCGGGGCCCAGTGGGGGATGGGGGAAGGTGGCAAAAATCAAAAAGCTGAAAGCAAAAACGAAACTGAACAAAAATTTATAATCAAAATTGGCTCGCTCGATTGAAACTGAAAATGAAAATGTATGTGAAAATATTTGTTCACTGAACACAGGGTATATACACACCCACACAGCAACACACACACAGATACACATTCCAGATACTCACACACGCACATAGCTTAGGTTTTGTGTAGTAAACAGAAAGCTAGCCGGTACACTGAAAGAAATTTCATTGAACTTGAATGCACACACAACAAACAAATCAGTCTATCTCACTCTCTATCTCTCTCTGTCTCTCTATCTCTTTGTGTAATTTTAACTGTGTCTTGCTCACTCGCCCGCTCGTACCAAATAAGCTAAACAGCCTCACAAGCTGCTTGGCACTAAATAAATCCCTCTCTCTCTCTGTCTCTCTCTGTTTCTTTCTCTCTATGTCTCTCTCTCTCTCTCTCTGTCTACCCACGCTCTATAACTCTATATATACCTCTCTCTATATATACTGATTTTGTTTTTGAGCTATGTTGGTTTTGGTTTAGCAAAACAATTGTTTTTGTTATATAAAAAACCCTAAACAATAAAACCCCAATGAAAAAAACAAAAGATACTAATAATATATTATGAAAAAAAAAAAGAACAGTTACACGAATATAACCAAATGCACCTACTTTTTGATATACCCCCACTCTCCCTCCGTTCGAATAATATTTTTGAGAGCATGCTAAATATATATATATTTCCATAAATGTCTATTCTAAAAAGCTTTCTAACTGTCAAAACAAAAACTTAAATAAAATACAAAAAAAACAAAAACAAAAAAATCCAAAAAATCCAAAAATAATATAAAAACAAAAAGAAAAACTCTTAAAACTCGTACATACACACACTCATATACATACATACATACATACATACATACATATACATATTGTTGGTTCTGAAATTAAGTCCAAGTACAAATCATTCGATAATGGAATATCCAACATTTGTTGTTTTCATTTATTGTACAGTTTTAGTTTAGTTCACACAAACAATCACACACACACACATACATATATATACATATACATACGTACTCACACATACATGATCGTATATACATGCTTTATAGTTTCCGACAAATTTATGAAATATATTCGTATATTGATTGTACTTTACCAAACTAACTAAATAACCGTTAACATTTGTTCTGTTTGAGCACTAGCGAAGGACGCTAAAACAAACGTACGCACCCCAACAATAAAAGAGATCATGCATATATATATATATATGTGTATAACTATATATATTTATCCAAATATATATTGTGTATATATATATAGTCAGATATGCCGACAAATACAATTATATATATATGTGATGTATATATATATGTATAACAAGCAAGCAATCCATGTCGAGTTCATCTATGTGTGTTTTGCGTGGTTTAGGCTGTTTAAATGTGGGTGACACTCCAACAACAAATTTATAAATACTAAAAAAGAAAAATACAAAAAGAGCAAAAGCAAAATCGCAGCAACAAGAAAAACAAAAACAAAAACAAATTTCGCACGCATGAAAATCAAAGAAGAGCAAAATGCCGCCGCCCGCTCGCCCAACGTAACTGTAAAACAAATAGCTTTAGCTCAGTCAACACTAGAAACTAGTAAATGTATCTCTATACATAGAAATATGCATATATTTATATAAATATATATAGTACCAAGCAACATCGGTGTTTTCGTAACACCAAGGAAAGCTAAATGGAAAATGCATTAAATCGCATCTTTAATTCAATTCCCGCTACTCTCTCTAGTTCCACACTATTGCTATCTCTCTCTCTCTCTCTCTGTCTCTATTTCACTCACCGTATATGCCTCGCCCCCTGTCTACCCTTAGCCTACTCAGTCATAGTCAGCTATATGCATCCGGTTTTAGCTATGTTTTTCAGTTGAAATATGATTTACATTTGGATGAAAAATAAGAGAAATATAAATACAAATAAAAATAACAGAAATTTCTAGCTAAACGCTGTGCAAATTGTAATAAATTATCAATTATACAGTTATATATATATATGACAAACAAAACTCATTAGTTTAGCTGTTACAGTGTATAAACAAATATGTATGAAAATTGTTAAAAATCCATTTGTTTCAAATTAATTAAATTCCATGAAATTATATTAATTACAAATTTATAATTTATCTATTGTTCAGTTCATGTTCGTTCCATTGTTCTCTCTCATTTATACTCTATAGATATGCCATGCACACACATACACACACAATTCACACATAGATACCTGCGCCATTTCAACAATTTACAGCCAATTTATTTCACCCTCACTCACACACACACACATACACACACTCACACTATCTCTCGTCTATTGTTCGAATTGTAAGCCTTTGTTCTCGACAAAAATTGATTTAGAGCGAACTACATAGACAGACTATGCAGAATAAATTTCAGCATTTCTAAACACTCACATTTAAGAACTTAAGCGAACGATAAATAACTTAAGCAAGTGGCCAAAAAGTTGGTGGCCAGAACAGTTAACCGAGCTAAAGTTAAATAAAGCTGCAAATGGCTAAAATTGTAGAGTTTTTCTTTTCTATTTGTTTAGTCCACTCTCTAAGCGGGTCAAGTGAGAAAGCGAATTAGAATTAAGTATACGCAAAGTGGACCATATTAAATCATTTCACTATAATTAAGTATACGCACAGTTGAGCGCATTCAATTCAATTAAGTATGCGAAAGGACTTCACTCATTTTCAATTGATTTTCAGTTGATTTTTATGCTAATATGGAAAAATCAAAATGTTTTTCCTTATTTTTTGCATTTGTGTGGCAAGCGCATAAAAATACTTGAGCAGCAGCCACCGAATGATGCTAAACAACATTGACACCCGGCCCAGAGTGTACAATAAAAAGCGGTCTAGACACGACACGCCACGCCCACCCGTCCCCCATAATGCCCAAGTGTAACCGCCCCGAAATGTAGCCAGGTCGTAAAAATCTCAACTTGGGAGAGCGCAAAAAAAGAAGAAGAAGAAGGCGTAGAAAACTTTTGCCTTTTGGTGCAAATAGTTTTGATGGGCTTTCTCAAACTGTTTGAGTTTCGAGTTTTCGGGGTATAAGCGCTCAGCTCATGTTTTTTCTTTTCTTGCCTCCTGGGCAGGTCAACAAAATACGAGAATTCCGATAGCGGACGAGTGAGATAGAAGGTTGTAAGTAAGTAAAGAGAAGATAGAAGACGCGAGTAAGTAAGCAGCAGGAACCAAAAAAAAAAAAAAAAAAAACATGTACAAAAGAAAACATATATCGTTATCTCTATCTATTTGCTACCCCCCTCTCTCTCTCTCTCTTTCGCTCCCTCTCTTGCCTATAACTTATTTATAAACATGCTGTACTAACAACCTAATGTTTTTTTCCTGTACTTTTAAGTTCATTTCGTCGTTTTGTCTGCCTCTTCATTTGCAATAATTTGATTTCATACTCTTTTGTTGTTGTAAATAATTCTGTACTATATTTAGACTATATGCATATATCAATATATATGTATATAACAATATCAATACATACGATTTTTGCGCAATAAACATACCTATATATTATACACTGTAACGTCAAAGCTCTTGAGTTTGCTCCACGTATCGCTATCGAGCTCATATCACAAAGCAATATAAAAATAAAGAAAATAAATACAAACAAAAACAAACCACAAACTAAGCAACTTGTATCTTGTCTCTTGTATGTGAAGCGCTTGACATAAGCAGCTAAAATGTGAAACACAATAGTCAAAAATAAAAGGGCAATGAAAAATGGCTTTATGTATAGCATATAAACACACACATACACTCACACCAGCCAAGGCAATAATCAACATAAAAGCCACGATTTTCGCTTGTCTGTAGACCATATTGTATAGCGTCTCTCTCACACTCGCCCTCTCTCTATCTGTCTCTGTCCCTCTCTCTCTCTCTCTCTGTTTGGCGTCAAAGTTTGCACTCTGCACTTAGCTCTAATAAGGCAAATACCACAATCACGTTCACGTCCAAGCGCCAGCTGAAGACGCTCCAAAACAAGTGCATTTCGTGTGCATTATGCTATTCTAAGCAAAAGTGCAGCTGCAGCAGCAGCCACTAAATTATTCATATTTAGATGCAAGATACGAGCCAAGCACAGATACAGCTGCAAAAGTGTGTAGCAACTTTTATCAACGGCTTTGCCGCCGTGTGGATACTCTTGTGGATGAAGTTGAAGTTGGAAATACGCTATAGTTGATACACAGCAAGTCGTTTCTATATCATATACACATTGCTATATGCAAAGCTCTTTTAATATCTTCAACCTTCTTCTATAAACCAACTCGAATGTATCTAATTTATGTAGTCCACTCTTACGACTCCACAGCAAGGGTATACAAATATGAAAGCTTTAGCTTATATGCAGCTTATCAGCGCACACACACACACACTCACCAATAGACACACGCACACTGACACTGGCAAACAATAATATGCATAATCTAAATAAAAGAATAACAAGCAAACAAAAAAAAGCAATGCAACAATAGAGCAACAAGAAAAATAATAATAATAAGAAAAACGCAAGCAGCACGCAAATAGAGACGAACTAGCAAGCAAAAAAGAATACCAAAACAATATAAAACAAATAGCAAAGAAAACATAGAACAAAAAAAAAAAAAAAAATCCACTGCATCTTGTAGGTTCTCACAAAGGATAGCGTTACGGTTTCGGTGGATGCAGTGGTTTACTATCGCGTATCAAATGCGACCGTCTCTATAGCGAACGTGGAGAATGCTCACCATTCGACCAGACTACTGGCACAGACTACTCTACGAAACACAATGGGAACTCGGCATTTGCATGAGATACTCAGCGAGCGTATGACGATTTCCGGCACCATGCAGGTGAGTACCACACACACACACACACAGACACAGACACGCGCATATACACCGACCGGCACACAATTGTTACAAGCAAGGCTGCCTAAGTCCTTTATGGCCCCTGTCTTTTTGCACGTAATTGACTTATGTGCACTGTGCCAACCGCCAACTGTCCAACCCCCGCGCCCCCATCACCATCCGCCAGCTGCCAGAAAGCATGCTGGCTGACTGCCGACTGCCAACTGCCGACTGCTGCTAATTATTCAGCGACTTTAAGAGTTCTGCACGCAAACTGAATACTAAATATTAATTGCTAATTGCAAGTTTTGCAGCAGCTGCCAAAAAATATAAATAAAAGACAGGCACGAAATCTGCCGTCATAAGCTTGGCCAGAAATGTTCAGAAAATCCAAAGTGGCGCTCTACACTTAGCAAAATTAAAGGCAAGTTGCTTGAACTTTTACACTTAGCAGCAAATTGAATTTTGTTGAATTTTTGCTAACAATAAAAAAAAAATTAAATTAAATATGAAATAATTTTTTCAAAAATTTTTCTTGAATTTTTTTTAAATTTAATTTATGAAATTTTTTTATTTAGGATAATTTTAAAAGCCAATTAAAAAATACTTGACCAGAAATTTATTTAATATTTTTTTCCCTTTAGCGGCTAAATGTTGTTTAGCAAAACACCCCCAGTTTTCGCTCAGTGTTGCCTCACTGCAGCATATCTGGACAGTTGCTGCGGCAGTTTAAACCAAAATCCATGAATTTCTAGCTTTTAGCTAGATGCTTTTCAGCCACGACTCCAATTTCAGCTGCTGCTTATTTATTTATTTTGCCGTTTTATGGCCATATGAAAAATAGTTCAAAATCAGGCTGAAAACTCACGTCGAACATGGCTAGAATGCCAAGTCGGGCGAGCTGGCCAAGTTGGCAAACGCGTCGCTTGTGCCAGCAGCAAGTGCTGCAGTTTTCTTTCCTTCCATTCAGTTTAACGGTTTCAAGGATGCTGCAACGACCCACAAAAACAATGTGCAAACAAAAAGAAGCAAAACCAAACCAAACCAAACCAAAAAAAAACTCCCCAAATACGAGCGACAGAAAGAAAAATGTGAAAAGCATCACAGTTAACAGCATGAAAAAAAAAAAAAAAAAAAAAAACGTGTGTGTAAACAAAAACTAATGTGTTTTTCTACTGCTATTTTCAAACACACACTCAAACACATATTACAATTTCGACACACACACACATGCACACACATACATATGCACACACACCTGGCTATGCTATGTGGGCCAAATCATAAACAGGTTCAGCTCGACGAAGCGACCGATGCTTGGGGCATCAAAGTTGAACGTGTTGAAATGTAAGTAGTGCAACTTTTCTGTCACACACACACACACACACACACACATACACACACTCACACTCGCACACACATACACACCCAAACAGTCGCACACCCTTTACACAGGTTTCTATGTCAAAAATGTAGGTTGGGTTGCGTGCCTTCTACCTCTCTCGCACCCTCGCTCCCTCTCTCTCTCTCTAAATTTTTTTTATTACAGTGTAGGCGTGTGTATTGGCCTTTGTCGGCTGTCATAATTTATTATTAAGCGCGCTGTGGGACAAGTGGATGCGCCCGCTGTTCCAGGCTTCAAGGTCTGGCCAGCTGACAGCTTGTCAAACACATGACCAACAAAATGGCTAGCAGCAACAGCAACAGCAACAGCAACAACAACAACAGTTTGTGGTGATGTTTTAGCAGCTGCAATGGCCAAAACAACGTAAAATATTCTTTGTTGTTGCTGCTGGCCATTGGCCCGTGTTGTCTTTTTTTTTTTTTTTGTGGCTCTTTTGTGCGTGCGGCTCTCTATGAAAATTCTGTTACATTTTCTTTATGACAGTCTTCGACGTCAGCTTTACGCATCCGCAAGAAATATTTTTATGAAATTAATCAGCCGATAAATTTTTGTTGTCATCTCCAATAAAATATGGTCAACATTTGATGGCCAAAATGTTGTGGTTGTTGTCGTTGTGGATAGAAGAATAGAAGCCTATGCTCTCATAGTCAAAGTTGATATACCCTTAAGGCTCATACGTATGTATATAAGAACTCAATTTGCTGATCCCTTTCTTGTTGGTCTTGAAGTTGAAATATGTTGTGAGCAAATATTTCTGGGAAATGGATAAATGTAGATTCTCTTGATTCAGCTTCAATACATTTGAAGTATTTGTTGCGCAGTTCATCAAAATACTAGCCACACAACAAAAAGCATGTTAAATTTCCACGCAATTTTCTTCGCACAAGATTTCCTTCATTGAGCGCGCATCAAATTTCCATTGCTCCACAACATTTCGTCTCACATCAATCACACAGATGCTGGGCTAAACAACGTACAAGCATCCTAATGACCTTTACTGTTCGACCCACTCAACTGAGAGCTCAAATGGCATTGAAACTTTGCAGTTCGGGGAATTCGTTGGCGTTGCTTTCTAGTTTACAGCTAACACGAGCACGTTGCCCGGCTGGGCTAAGTGCTTGCAACATGGCTAATAGTAAACTCTTCTTCTCTCCTGGACAAACCACAGCAAGGATGTGCGTTTGCCCGTCCAGTTGCAACGAGCCATGGCCGCCGAGGCTGAGGCAGCACGTGAGGCACGGGCCAAAGTTATTGCCGCCGAGGGCGAGCAGAAAGCATCGAGAGCGCTGCGTGAGGCATCCGAGGTGATTGGCGATTCGCCGGCAGCGCTGCAGCTGCGCTATCTGCAGGTAGGCGTGGTCAACCAATATGCTCATATACTCATATTTTTATATTAATATACATATATACATAGATATAAACTGATATATACCAGCAAAGTCTGTGAACATACATAAATTTTCTTTGTATTTATTTTATTTTGTTTTATGTGGCTTAATGTATATATAAATCATATACACACACACATACATTTTTTATTGCCGCAGACACTCAATACCATATCCGCGGAGAAGAACTCAACGATTGTATTCCCGCTGCCCATCGATTTGATAACATATTTCCTGAAGACTTCGGAGGCAACCACGCAACAGAATGCGGCTGCAGCAGTTGCTGCCCAGCAGCAGCAGGCGCAACAGCATCAGGGAATCATGCAGCAGCAGCAATATGTCCAACAGCAGCAGCAGCAGCAAGCACAGCAGCAACTGATGTCGCCGCCGCCGCAGCAACAACAGCCGCAACAACAACAACAACAACAATATCAGCAAATTTCATCAGCTATGTAAATGAGAATTGCGAGACATAATTAAAGTTTCGGCTTGGCCGAATTTCGAATGCGCTGTGTGAAAACAGAAAGTATATAGGTGAGACAGTTGCAGTTGGTTGTAGCCGACTGCATGATGCTCGTTCATGAAATAAGATATAGAAAATACCAGAATAGAGTCCAATTTATAGAGAAATGTTGCAAAGTTCAGATGAGGTATGCCCCAGAGGGCGTGGACCACAAGCCTTTAAGACAATGTATAGAGTAGCAAAAACAATCAACAGACTTAAATGAAACATATGAGAACAAAGTCAAGCAAACTGAAAAGATTAGCATAGACCAAAAAAACAAGAAAGCTACGAAAAGCGTATGAGGAGTAAAAAAACTAGTAAGTGCTGAAAGATATTTTCTTAACCGATTTGCTATGCTCTCAGGTGCATACCTTATATAAACTTAACACATGTTATCATATACAAACCTATTCTAGATCAAGATACATATTCTCCAGCAAGAATACTCTCCTATATAGTACATCACGAACGAGCATTAAATATGTAGAAAAACTTGTAAAGTGCGCCACTGCCATGTTAATTAACATAGCCTTAACAGAATGTTAGCAGCATTACCTTTGAATATGTACACCCTGTGTTAAGTGTAAGTGCAGCGCATTCCACACACACACACACCCACACACACAGACAAAACAAAAGTACTGCATACAACGATTCAGTATAGAATCAAAAATTACAAACAAAAAAAACAATTTAGTTCTAGACACCAAGAAGTGCGATTCGTATGCATTCGTATATAATGATATACATATATAACAGATCTAGGTACAATACCTAATTGCCCCAAGAATGTCAACAGAGCTAGTGAAAATTCTAAAACCAACCAGTTTTGAGAATATTAAAATGGATTAGTAATCCGATACTAATACATTTTGAAATACTCAAAAATGGTTGGTTTGGTTTTGAATTTTCGTCAAATCTAGTTTATTGACAAGAGTTTTTGAATAGTTTTCGAGGCACATCTATATATTAGTGAGGTTTTTGTGTTTTTGTAAATGTTTAGACGATAAGCGATGTTAATAAAATGAATGCATTAGGTAAATTTCTGATATATATACTGATATATATATATATATATATAGTATACATACTCGTATTGCATTTACAAATTGCTCTATAGCTGTGTGTGCCAATTGTGATAGAACAATTTGTACAGCTCGTTAGCGCAGCAAATCGAAAGGAAAACTAAGATTATGTAACTATATGGCCATAGAGACAAGGAATACTACATATATATAATCGATCTACTGGCGTATATGTATATACAAATATATACTTGTTTACAGAGTTCATCTGATTTGACAGTCAGCAGCCAGTTGAACGGAATTCACTTTCAACAGCTGCCTTATAAGTACGATATATGTATATGAATATATATATATACTACATACATATATAGACCCAATGAAAAGCCAATACAAAACAAAGAACGTTCTCATATACAATAAATAAATGTAATACGAATTTATTGTACATACAATACTCACAAATCGATAAACCAAAACAGAACTGTTTTTTAGAACCTATTAGAACATACAATACGAATATATACATATGTATATTACATATATATATATAAATAAATAGTGCAAACATACAAACATTCTAATCATACGTTGGCCAGTTACGTCGATATAGTTATTATAGTAGGGTTTATCCAAATCGAAATTCAAATTCAAATTCAAATTACAATTGCTTAGAATACATTTGCTTAGTCTTCATTCCAATTCAGATCGTTGCATTAGAAATGCATTAGCAGTTCATTAGCCTTTCACACACTCAGAGTTTACTTTTTCGCGCACTTCATTCAACAATTAGCAAATGAATTCTATATATATATAAATAACAATAATCAATTACATAAAACATACGAGTATATATATTAATTATGTACATTTTTGCCTTTGAACAATTTTTAAAAACGAAACGATTTCATTATTACTTATACATACATATATATATACACATATGTATATATACCTATATTCAAATGAGAAACGTACAATAACAAAAATAAAGCAACTTTTTTGGCATACAAAAAAGCGAAAAACACAAAAATCAAACTCGTTTTAATCCTACATTTTTTTTTTTTTTTTTTGCAGCGAAGAAAGTTCGTAAATTGCTTTTAAGAGCATAAAAAAATGTTATGTCTGCACTTTAAGAGAAATGTTACATATACGCACTTCCAATCTGCGTTCAGCAGCTTCCACTCATCTTAAGTGCAATTTACGTTACTCCAAAAGGAACCGAAAAAATGGAAGCCACTGAAATGTATGCTTGCCATTTGCTCACACTATCTGTCTCTTTTTCTCCCTGCATGCCAAACACAAATTGTCGCTCACAGGAAAGAAGGCGATCTGATAAGTGCAGTGCAAGGAACAGGAGAAACAGAAAACGAAAAAATGAAGAATATAACAAAAATTAATTGCGCTTTTAATAAAAATGCACCCTAGCAATTATAAGAGTATTTAAGAAGAAATAAATCTAATATGTAGCATATTTGTATTTATGTTGACTTACTGCGGCAGCTTGACGAACTATTTTATTCACTTTTTATTTTCCGGCCAGCATGCTTAACATGTTATGCTGAAGCGCCTATAGTTCATTTATTTATAATATACAAATGTGCTAATTAAAACAAGAACTGGCACTCACACTAACATATTTCATATTTCAGAACAGCACAAGAGAATATTAATATTCGAAATAAAAATGCAGCTGCTCCGACGACCCGACAGCAGCCAAAGGCAAACGATTTCCAAATAATTTATAATAGCGATCGCAATTTCCACATTCCAACAGGAAAAGAGCGAAATAAATCCGAATGAAGCAAAGTGGCAAACTAACAACAGAATGATTTGGTACGTTAGAAAAGGATTTTAAGAGCGTTAGCTAAGACACAACCCGATAATTCAATTCAGCGTTTTGGTCAGCCAGCTTCAGACTTCAAATCGTAAGGGTGTTACGATATCGAAAAATATATAATACATTAGATGTGTTGCAATAAAAATTTTTATTAAATTAATTAATTAAAATAAATTTTAAATGAAAGTGAAAGTAAGCATCAACAAAGTAAATATAGTCAATTTTACAGGTTAAATAATTGGATGCCCGTCTTGCATTTAGCCGAGACTCGAACCAAATATTTGAATTCAATTAGCAAAGCCACAAACCGCAGCAAGCCTAGATCGTAAGTATATGAATTCGCGAAAATTACGACATTCGTATTTCTAAGGATTAAAAAACATTTTTTTTCTTTTTTATTACATATTTTGTTCATTTATTGATTTATTTGAATGCATTTTTCGTTATACACCAGCTAAATTCAGTTTGCATTATTATAGCAGAGTTCCATACTCGAGTTCTTGTTTTTTGTATATTTTTTTTTTTGTAAGTTTTATGCAAATATCTCTATTTATTTATTTATTTTTTTTTTATAGTGTCTATAATTAAACATATGACAGTGTTTAGTTTTTCTTTTTTTTTTCAATGATTTTTACTTTTTGCTTGAGCAACAAACGGGACGGCTATTGGCGGCACGCCCACTAAAAAAGGCGTAAGAGTGGAAAATTTTAGAAATCTATCCATTTGATTGTATAAAAATTGTTCTTGTTGCTGTTGTTGTTGTTGTTGCTGCCACCTGAACCGTTAGTTGTTGTTGCTGCTTATTGTTTACTTGTTGCTATATTTGTTTTTTATTTATTATTATTATTATATTTATATTAATTCAATTCAATTTCGTTTATTGCTACACATTATGTCAAGTAAATATATATTTATATATATATATATATACAAAAATTCATCAACTACGCTAAACAATTTCACTGTTGCTTATCATTTCTTCTTTTTGTTTTTATATTTTTTAATCATAACAAATATATTTAAAGTTAAATTTACGTTGAATGCAGTTTCATACAATGATTCATTTAAGCTGCCTTAGAGAATACTCTATGTGTGTGTGTGTGTGAAATGCATAAATGTTCTTGTTCTTTACATATACATATATAGATATATATATATATACTTATTTCTCTTCTTTATTTTTTATATTACGAAATGCTAAACTTTGGTTTTATGCTACAAAACACATAAATTGAAACATTAAGAACTTAAAAACTATAACAAAAATAATAATTGAAAGCAATAAATTATGTATATAATATAGATAGATGTGTGTGTGTGTGATTGTTTATATATAGTAATTGTTGTGATAAGAGTTCTGATTGATCATATGTGATATAGCTAGGTATATATATATATCATTTATCCATTTGAAACCCTGGAGACTTCAGTTTATATGGCTTTTTGACTTGGTTTCGTTTCTGTTTAGAGCACAAACATATAGAGGAGAGGAACTAAATGTGAGCTATAAGGCTATAAGAATATATACATATATAGATCGATCTAAATATATATATATTTTTTTGTGTATATATTTTTTTGGACAGTGCTTAAGTATACAAAAGAAAGTTTCTCATAATTTTGGCATCAACTTAATATTAAAAAGAAAATTCAAAACAAAAACAACAACAAAAAAGTATTAAAATTTAAATTTTTATAATTTTTATAGGTTAATTTTTATTTCATTTTTTTTTTAGCCTCAGCATTTAAAAAGTAAATGATGATACTTGGAAGTAGCTGGTCGGACTCGCTATATCAAGTTAAATGCCAACATTATAAATTAACTATATCAACTACAATGTTTCTTTGCTTTTTTTTTTTTTTTAATATTTTAATTGATTGTGTTAAATAATACTTCAAGTTTTGTATATCAAGAGGAAAAACTAAATTAGTTCAGCATTAAACAATTTTAGAGTAGAAACGAAGCACTGAAATTTGTTTTCTTTTTCTTTCCTTTTTTTTTCTTTTTTTTGTAAATTTGAATTAGAAAAGTTTTTAAATTGGTTTTTGCCATATTTTTTGTTTTAGGTTTGCTTTTGTTTAGGGGTTTCTTTATCTTCTTCGCATTTTATTTTCTTATTCTCTTTTTGGTTAGCTTACAAAACTAGTTAAATACTTGCTAATTCAATAGTACATACAAGTAGGTATATAAATTATAAAATAGTTTTCTTCCGCGTGTAAAATATAAAATATTTCATTTGCATATACATATACATATATGTATGTACGCTTATACACATATACATATACATATATATATAGAATAATTTTATATGTGTTGCAGTTGTTGTTAATGCCTTGCCATTGTTTTTAAAAGTCTTAAGAATTATAGTAAATATGTATAAATGTGTTTTACGTTATATATATATGAATAACGTTTAATATATATATATTTATAGATGTGTGGGTGTGTGTGTGTGATGTGACTGTTGCTGCTTAATCCTGCACCTCCCGATACGGCACCTCGGATGTTACCGAAAACGATTCGAAATAATGATTCAAGAACTCGAACGTTGGCCGCTTCTCGGGCACCGCGTCCCAGCATTGCAGCAACAGATGATAGATATTATCGGGGAAATAGTGTGCGGTTGGCTTTGGCATACGGAAGCCGCGCTCAATATTCTCGATCACCTCTCTACTGTGCATGCCCGGATAGGGCACCTGTCCGTACGTGAACAGCTCCATCAACAATATGCCATACGACCAGACGTCCGACTTGATGCTGAACTTGCCATAGATAATCGCCTCGGGCGCTGTCCATTTGACGGGGAAACGTGAGCCCTGCTTGGGGCAGTATTCATCGTCGGCTATGACGCGCGCCAGGCCAAAATCACAAATCTTTGCCACATTATTCTCGCCGATGAGCACATTGCGTGCCGCCAGATCGCGATGGATGAGCAGCTTGGACTCCAGATACTCCATGCCGCTGGCCACCTGGGTGGCAATATAGATGAGATCCTCGAAATGCAAATAGCGACCCTCGCCCTCGCGCAGAAAGTCCAACAGGCTGCCATTCGACATGTACTCCTGCACTATGTAAATGGGCTCCTCCTGACAAATGGGAATGCGATTAGAGATTAGGTTGAATTTAAGATTAAAGAAGCATTCAGTTAACCTGTGAGCAGACGGCATAGAGAGCCACCAGTCGATTGTGTCGAAACTTTTTCATTATGGCCGCCTCCTGCAGGAATGCAGCTGTGGACATTGTGCCCTCGCGCAGTGTTTTAACGGCCACATCGATGCTGTTGCGCCACTTGCCATAGAAGACTTCACCAAAGTTGCCGCGGCCCAGCTTGCGTATCAGCTGGATCTCCGAGCGTGGTATTTCATATTTGTCGCGCAGCTCCGGTCCCAGATCCCACATCTGTGGCTGTGGCTTGGGGCAGGGACGCGACAAAATGTGGCACAGACCCAAAGCGTTTTCTGCAAAACAGAAACAAACAACAACAACAAATATCGTGCGATTATAACTCGTGTTGCTTTAAACACTCTGTGCATCCACAATTTATCTACTCACTGCTGTAGGCCATGACAAGCGCTTGGAGCGAGGCAAAAGTTTGATTTGTGGCGATGTAAAAGCCGCCATTGTCCAGCGGCTTAATGCGATAGTGTTTCACATGATAGCCGCGTCCGTCCTCCCAGTCCTTCACCGACAGCGAGTAGCCGTTCGGATTGTGCTCGGAGGGGCGCACGAGAAAGGTGCCGCGCGGATTCTCTTCGGCCAGCAGCAGCTTGTCCGCCTCCTTGCGCAGCACGTTCTCAAAGAACCAGCTGGAAATAGAGGAGCGTAACGAATATAAGCATATTTTTTCTATATATACAGTTATAAGGTGGATACTCACTCTTCGCTGTTGACGCTGCGCTCCTCGGCCACAAAGTTGAGCGGTATGAGACCCTGTTGACGTGTGCTCAGATTAACGACGCGCCACCAATCCGATTCGGTGTCATCGACAACCTCCATGCGGTCGCCTTTGGTGAAGCTCAAGTCAGATTCATCGCGAGATTTGTAATCGTAGAGGGCAACGACGACGCGTCGCTTGGGCAGACCGCCAGGCACACCAGCAGCTAAAGAGGGAGCGAAAGAAAGAAAAAGAGAGTGAGAGAGAGAGAGAGAGAGAGAGAGAGATTAAGGGTCGGTGTGTGAGCAAGCGAGAGATGTATAACTTTCGTCTGGTTGCAAATTTGATTTGCGGTGCGGCGAGGCAGAAATTGCAATTTATGTGCGACAAATTGGTAGCAACAATTTTTTTTTTTTTTTAATATCTAGTTAGCATCTAATTGGAAGTTAATGAGTCTCTGCTGAAGCCCGAAGCGTCGATACGATATATCAGCGAGGGTGGCCTCAAAAGTTGTCTTCCCAAATTGATTAGCATAGATTTTGGCGCAACTAACAAATTCCAAATGCCAAGCCACAAATTCAATTCCATTTTAAGCCCCATTTTTTTTTTTTTTTTTTTTTTTTGGCACTGTATTTGGCATTTGACTAATTGATTTAGCCCACACGGACAACTTGGCATGTTTTTGCATTTGTTTATCTATTATTGTTGTTGCTGTTGCTGTTGCCTTGCCCTGCATTTGTCGCACAAGTGCTGACGCGTAAATCTCGTTTGAAGCTTTCAGCCTTTTGTCAAAGCATTTGACAGGTTTACAAGACCTAAGCGGCTTTACGTGAACTAAAATCTGATTCAGAAAGACACGCAATGTAGCGTTAAATCAAGCGATAATTAAACGCAGTCATTGCTGAAAAAAAAAGGTTGAAACAGAAAACTATTTCCCTCACGAGACGCTTTAAAAGGCAAGGGCAACAAAATAATGATGGAATGAAGCAAAGAGCTTAAAGAACCAAAATAAAAATTTTAGTGAAATTTTATATACACCTGCTGTATATACCTACTACTGTATATACATACTACTACTGTATATACGTACTACATACTACTACGATATATACCTACTTTATATACTTATCTAACATTCTAACGAGAGTTTCTTTCGATTTTCCCCATTAAATCCGCATAACCCCCTCTGACTTTATAAGATCTACTCTATATGCCCCTTAACTTTGACCTTTCAAGTGGACTAACTATGTAGAGCTCTTTAGACCATATTACACATACGCTGCGACTCTTTATATATTCATATAACTTTCGCTAGCGTCAAGTGTCGACTGAGCTCTAATTATGCAATTCGCAGTTGGCAGTTCGCAGTGTCGCCGTCAGCTCAAACAAACGCAATAGAAACAGTTACAGTAATAGTAACACAGCAACAGTGACACAGGCACATTAAGCGGGCCAACACACACACACACACGGAGCAAGTGGTCAAGGTTAATTCAAGCTGTCACATAAGCAATGCAAATATGCGAAAGACCTTCCGTAACCCTCGACTCCCGAGAGGGCAAAGTTGAAATTGGCTTCGAAAAAAAAGAGCCAACACAAAAAGCTAATTAAAAGCGAGAGTCAACAAGGCAGCACCTGGGGTGAACTCTTGAGCACCTTGGGAGCAAATGATTTTATTTATGTATTATATAAACCTTTTTTATTTGGTAATCAGATGTGGTATTTCTATATGCATATGCCATGAAGATCATTTGCTTAAATATAAAGTTGAATTAAAATTAAATATATGAAAAGTCGTAACTTTTTAAGCTCAATTTTTTTCATACAGCCCTCGTATAGTTCTTCTGCAAAAATAAGCTGATATTTTATTTGTGCCTATTATTTAATTTAATTGTAGTTTACTCCCTTTTCTATGTTTTTTTTTTTTTTTTTATGGATGACAAGTATTCAAGAATGTGTCGTAAACGAGGGTAATTTGTAGAGTTGCCAAATATTAATACAGTTGAGTCTCGATAATTCGTACTCGCGGTAAATTGAATAATTATCAATAATTCACGATTCTCTAATTAAATTAGATAATAATTACAAAGCTTATTATCATTTCTATTGCAAATTTGAATGCAATTTAAAGAAAATATTTATCATATATTATCATATTTCTACACTGGCCAATTCATTGATCTACCCTCGCATCATCATGGCATTCATTGACCAATCTCATTGCAAACTACACTTACTTGGTGTGGTGCGCGTTCGTATGATGTCAACGCCGCCCTTGGCGCCGATCTTCAGTGGTCCGCGATTCGGATCCGGCGTATAGCGCGAGTCCAGTGAGCCGCCATTGTTGTGCTTCTGGCCGAGGGCGGCCACCACTCCGCCGCCGGGGCCACCGCCGCTGCTGTTGTTGATGTGCGTCTGGCCGAAGGTGTAGTCGGATTTCTTATAGCCGCCCGTGGGATAGGCCAAGGCCAATTCCTGATCCTGACGTTTGCTGCAGCATTTGTTGCCCATGTTGCAGCTGTCGTCAAGTGTGTTGCTGCTGCTGCTGCTGCTCCTGCTGCTTGTTGTTGTTGTTGCTGCTGCTGCTTGTTGGCTTCGAGTTGTTGTATTTAGCTGGTGTTTAGCAGCAGCTGCAGCGGCTTTGCATATTTGGCATATTATGTGTTTTTGCTAGAGTTTTACTTAGTTATAATATTAAAAAATGTTTTGTTTTATCCTTTTTTTTTATTGTTTTGGTTTGTTTTTGTTTTTTGTTCCGCTGCTGCTACTGTTTTTTATTTTATTTATTTTTTTTTTTGTAGTTGTTCTTAGTATTTTTAAGCTATCAGTCAAGTTGTGTGTGTTTGTGTATGTAGCTGTGCAAACGTGTGTGTGTGTGTGTGTGTGTGTGTGTGAGTGTTTGTGTATGCTGCCTCTTAAGCTGCTTGCATTAAAAGTTTCATGGAGGGCATTGCCTTAATTGTTTTTTTTTTTCTTTTTGTTTCTTTTGCTTTCAAAAATGCATTATAAAAAGTTGTTGCTGCTGCCAATGTTTGTTGTTGTTGTTAGAGCTTAGCCTTGCTGTTGCTGTTGATTATCCTTGCGTCTGTTGTCCTGCCAGCGTGTTTAGCCAGCAACTGTCTGCACATTGTTCAAGCTGCCTGCACCTGCAAAAGCAAACGGAAAAACAAAAATAAAACGAACAAAATTAGTTAAAGCTCATATAAATATTCATTAAAAGTACGCACACGCACACACACACACACAGAGAGAGAGTGAGAGACAGACAGGCAGAGGTAGTGTCGTTGACCCATGCCTAGACGAAACAGAGAAAACACAATGCTGCTTCACTCCAATGTCCTGCTGCTCCCTAGATAAACGTTTTTGGCACATCATTTCACTTCAGTTGGCAGCTGCTGCAGGTTGACCATAGCCCTAGTGACAGTTGCTGTTGTCAGCAGCAGCAGCAGCAGCAACAACAGCAGCAACAGCAGCAGCAGAGGCAACAGCAGCAACAGCAGCAGCAGAGGCAACAACAACAGCAGCAACTGCAACTGGCAATAGCAATAAATATATATTGTGAGAACACGACTAGCAGCTACCCTGTTAGCAATAAAGCAAACTAAGAGCGAGAGAGAGAGAGAAAGAGAAAGAGCCAGAGAGAGTGTGAGAGAGAGAGAGAGAGTACAGCAGCTGCTCTATTTCTGTGCCTGAATCTAACTACTGAAACTAAGTTCCATTAAGAGGTGCTCTCTGATAATCTATTATCTGATATATATTATTTATCATATATAATGTCAGAAACTTATTTGTTTCACATTAGTGTGAAGGACTGCTAAGTAGCATTAAGGTGAATGTTTCACTCTATGAGCGAGTGAACTAAAGCAGAGATTTCCAGAGACCAACCCAAGACAGCTTCAAACGAGGCTCGATAGCTAGAGAGGCGCCCCGACCGACTGTGATGCATTCGGTCGTTATAAAAGGAGCCGAGCCTGAGGCACTAACAGAAAGAATAGAGCGATCATTCTGTCGGCATGTTAAACAAGAAGAGAGACTTGTTGCATTCTGTGCGTGATTAGATAAGAGAAAATTAGGTATAAAATTTCGAATAGAAAAGCAGCAGAATCAATAGCAATCTGTACATACGAATAAGTATATATATTTATTAGGCGTTAACTAACTTAAAATTAAGCGCTGGCTACTGAGGCCTTCGGCTTGCGTATATATACACTTCCCTCTCTTATCATTGGATTATAAAATATTTAAGATTTCTATATACATATCCATTAATCCAATCCAAATGGATATTATTATCAACTGTTAAGTGTTTACATTGTCCTTTATACTAAATTGAACATTTGTGCACAGTATTAGCACGCCCTCTTTCGAATAGTCCTCAAAAAGAGGGCATAACAATTGTCTGGCTGACTGCCTGCCAAGCTTGCCTCTTTGGCTGTCTCTGTGTCTCTCTGTCTGGGCTGGCAGCTGAAATGCAGGGACTGCACACATTGTCTATTGACTGAAGGCCTGGCGGGCATCTGTTTATTGTTCAATTGGATAATTATGGTCTAGTATGCGTGTGTCAGTGTGTGTGTGTGTGTGTGTGAGGCCAAGGCTGTGGTTGCAACCACAGTTGAGCACAAGCTGCTGCTGCATTGTTGCACAAATGGTTGCAGCACTTGCCCCAAATATTAAATTGTTATTGTTGCGCATTTGTTGGCAGGATATTTAAGTGAGCCTAGGTCGGTGTGAGTGTCTGTGTATGTGTGTGTCTGCTGTGTGTGCACAGCTGCTGTGAAATTGTGAACGACAGTTGGCTAGTTGCATTTGCGGACTCAACTAATATCCTGGCATTAGCTCAACTTATCTATTGCTGTCAATTATTTAAAGCGACCTTAAAGTATACGAGCGAGATAGATAGAGAGAAAGACCAAGGATAAAGGACAGCTATCTGCTTATAAGGCACACACAGTCAGCGATAGCCATCGGCTACAAAAGCGCAATAAAAATTGTTATCTCTGAAATGGAAATTCTTCGAAAGTCAAATACGACTTGCGAAATCCTTTTGCAACGCTCGCAGCGACTCAATTGTGCTCGGCCAATGCCAACGTCTGGAGCCATGCGTTGTGAAGCTTTAAACAGACAAAAAAAAAAAAAAAAAAAAAAAATAAAACCAACAAATACAATAAAAAAAAAACAAACTTTGCTCGTCTCGCATAAAAGTCAAACTTTTCATTTCGACGACAGAGTTCATGAACCGCAGCGTCGGAGTCTGCGGCAACAAAGGCGTTTGCCAGGGGTCAACAGCAGCGTCAACAAGGCGCAATAAAAACCAAGACACAACACACACACACACACACACACACACCCACACGTACAAAGGTTTTATGTGGCGACTGTCTTTATAATGCCAATGAATTGCTGCATTTTGTTTAGCTACAAAATGTTTAACAAATTATTTTTATCACCTGCACACGGTGCAAATGGCAGAGAAGGACGAAAGTCCGCTTAACATGAACAAACATGTTAAATGGCAAATCGATATGGATATATATGTATCTGTGCGTATATACATATATGTTTATACATATGTAAAGTGAATTCACTTTGTGCACAGTATTTTCACGCATATTTAAAATATTTATATATGTATTTATATTTGTATAGACTTACAGGGGGTATGATAGAATACTTGATTGCAATGTAAGGTTGAGAGCTTTCAAGAATAGTCAACTGGGACTAATATAAAGAATAATATAAAAATAATTAATGAATGATTAAAAATTAATTATTTTAAAATTAATAATATAATAGAACAATAATTATATATAATTATGAAAAAAATATATATAAAAAAATAATTTTTAAATAAAATTAAAATTTATTCAAGTTTCTCTCTCCCTCTCTCTCTCTCTCTCTCTTTCTCAAGGCAGCTTCATTTTGAAGCTTTTATTTAATACAAACCAAGCATATGCTGGATTATCGGCTTAGTATATTGTTTACGTGCTTTAGCACGGATATAGCTATAATTAAACTACTATTTGTCTTCATGGAATACAAAAGCTATCAATTAATTATGTCTATTAGCTAATGAAAGCAGCTGTCAATACAATAGACACAATAGCTGCTTATAAAGCTATAGTCTCTTATTTAAAAGAGATTATTATAATCGCTTGGCTTATGACAATAGATAACTATGGAGCTGATCAAGAATACGAATAAGAATAAGAAATTACTAAAATTGTATCTTATTGATTCTAATTAAGAATCGAAGTTTTTAGCTGAACTTTATTGAAGAATCTTATTTTTAAAAAATATCGAAAGACTATAATAATATAATATATTGCAAATTACCATAAAGAAAATATCATAGAAATTTGATTCTAGATTATATCTCATAAAAACTATGTTTATTGCTAGCCTACTCTTTTCTCTCGCCATCGAACATGCCGATTGTGAAAAACGGAATGAAAGACCATATAAAATATTATATGTACTATATATATGCTAAGGGAATTGCAGCTTCCATCAATACAAAATTTGTACACTTTTTCATCCGATTTTCGCGCAGCTTTCATTTTGATTGAGCTACGGCCTTTTATAATTTCCGCCTGTTTTTTTTTTTTTTTTTTTTTTTTTTTTTGGTTCGCATTTTTCATGCAACACCTCGATAGTAATTGGTAGCATGCCAGAGTAATACACAAACCCACACACACACACGCACTGACCTGTCCAGCTACTGCCCGACAGGTGGCGTTTTAACATGGCGCATGACATCGACAAAAAAAAAAGGAAAAAAAATGATAAATTGAAAAAGGAAAATGACAAACCATTCCAAATTTGAAATTCGAGAGGTCAAAGTTGAAGCTGAAAATATGAATATTTCATTCGCAACTATGGGATCTGATGGGCAACTATGTGTTGTGGTGTGTGGGCGTGGCAGTTGCCGTTATCCAAATGCTGACAGCGACACACTTTGTGGGTGGCCAAGATAGGACGATGCGGAGGGGCAGAGGGACACAGCGAGAGGAGACTGTGTGTGTTTGGCATATGACATGAAATTGTAAATTTCTAGCTTGTTTTGATGTCTCTCAATTGTTGTTGCTGTTGTTGTTGGCAGTGCAGGCGTTGTTGCATTTGCCACAGTTCAAGTTGACAAAACGAAATGAATACTTAATTGGATATTGCGGCTATGAGTGCGCCTGAAAGGCGGCAACGCAAATGCCTGACATGAAATTAATATTACGATGCGTTCGTTCCATTGTTCATGTTGGCTACGACCACTATAGTGGTTACAAGAATTGAATATCATGGGACCAACAATCAAGCTAACGCTGCTTAAGGTTTCTGACATAATCAAAATTTAAGTAAATTACAATTTACAATTGAATTATGAGAAAGCCACAATCTAAAGCAATAAACTTTAAGTGCGAAAATATCTTCATCGGCATTTAAAGCAATTCAAGTCGTATAATTATATGCAGTTAACAATTTCTGAAGGGCCAACAGATAATGAAACATCAGAGTTATTTATGAAAATAATATAATAGCAGTACTTAAATTGATGAGAATTGCATAGAAGGGCAAATTTTTAGCTCTAGCAGTAACGAAACGCTTATGAAAGAAGGAAAGAGACTTAGAGCTATGGGAAAGGGAGAAACATAAAGAAATCAGCATAGTTAAGTGTACAGAAAGTCAGAGAAGTAACGAAACATATATCATAAGAGATTTATGGTTCAAAGCAGCCATAGCAAAAAGTAAGAAACAAAAGAGAATAGAACAAATGATGCATACAATTGAAAGGCACGAAAATAAAGAGAACACAGAATAGAATATGTAAGCAAATAAACTCAACAGAGCTAAATTTTACTCCTTCCGTTAACCCTTCACACAGCAACCCAATTGACCCACATAGCTTAATCAGAGAGCCAAACCTCTTGCCGGATTCTTTCTCGTTCACATTTTCTCACTTTGCGAATCAAATAAAGCTTGCTATTTAGCATACAAATTTTCACTTTGCGTGTCACAAAACTACTTTCTGCCAATACAGAGAGAATATACGATAACAAAGAGAGCGAGAGAGAACGAGAGAGAGAGAGGGAGAGGGAGGGAAGCAATCCTCGCTGATGGAGCCACATCTAATAAAATCAAATAAAATGCAAAAATG